GCGCCGTCTGTCGGCTCGTTGAGCCAGAAGAATGCCGCCGCCGGTCCCGGCGCCATCGACACAGAAAGAACAGATCGCCTGGAAGAGGGCACTTCCGCCCTGGGCTCGCCGCCGATAGCCCCTCGGCGAGAGTCGACGAACAATCCGCGCAAGCGCAGCGGGGACCGACGGCGGCGGCGGCGGCTGCCGGCGGTGGTGCCCGTGGAGGAAGAGCCTGGGGCGCAGCGGGAGAGGCAGGGGCTTCGGGGGGCGGGGGTGTCGGCGGCGGCGGCCCAGGCCGCCCCAGGTATCCGGATGTTGCCAGGGGCCAGGGGTGCTGCTCACAGGGGATATGTCGACCCCTATCCCCGACTTCGTAGGGTTGACGAGGGGGAAGCAAGTATCCCCGCCTCGCTTCGAACAGGGGATGTGTCGACCCCTATCCCCGACTTCATAGGGTTGGCGAGGGGGAGCAAGTATCGCCGCCTCGCTGCTAACAAGGGGTATGGCGACCCCTATCCCCGACAACGTAGTTAGGGCTGGCGATGGAAGAAAGCATCCCCGCCTCGCTGCCAACAGGGGGTATGTCGACCCCTGTCCCCGACCGCGTAGGGTTTTCGAGGGAAAGAAGGGCACCGCCCACCAAACCAGCCCAAGCCCAACCCGAAGGCCCCAGCCTGCCCTCCCTTTCCAGCGTGGGGGGCTCGCGGAACATCGAACAAAACACATGTGAAGCCCGTACCCCCCCCCCCCAAACCCGAAATTTGGGTCTTCGGGTCGGGTTGGGGTGGTCTGGCAGGTAGTCGCAGAGCACCCCTCGCCTCGCACGGCCGCGTTCCAGAGGCCGCGGTGCAGCTCGGCGTGGAGCTCCGGGCCCCCAGAGGCCCCAAGAGCCACGCGCGCGCAGGCGAACGCCCGCGATGGCACAGTCCCGGCCGACGCAATGAGCGAAGCGATTCCATACCTTCCTCCTCCTCCTCCTCCTCCTCCTTCTCCCCTTCCTCCTCCTCCTCCGCCTCCTCCTCCTCCTCCTTCTCTCCTTCTTCCCCTCCTCCTCCTCCTCTCTCCCTCCTCCTCCTCCTCCTCCTCCTCCTCCTCCTCCTCCTCTCCTCCTCCCTCCCCCCCCTCCTCCTCCTCCTCCTCCCCTCCTCCTCTTCTCCTTCTCCTCCTCCTCCTCCTCCTCCTCCTCGCACGAGGCCGCGGTGCAGCTTGGCGTGGAGCTCCGGGAGGCCGAGCCGCTGATGCGGGGCGACGCCTTCCGGGCCTGCACGGCCCGCGCCGCGGAGGGCCTGGCCGGGCTCGCGACGGAGCCGTCGGGCGCGCCGCCTCGGCCGCTGCCTTCGCCGCCGCCCAGGGCTCGCTTCGGCCCTTCCGGCCGGCATCGTTGAGCCGATCCCTAGAGGAGGAGGAGGAGGAGGCGGAGGAGGAGGAGGAGGAGGAGGAGGAGGAGGAGGGGGGGAGGAGGAGGAGGAGGAGGAGGAGGAGGAGGAGGAGGAGGAGGAGGAGGAGGAGGTGGTGGAGGAGGAGGAGGAGGAGGAGCAAGGGGAGACTCGCTTCCCTACAGTGGGGGCCCATGCCAAGAAACGCCTCGCTTGCCTCCAGGGTGCCCTGGGTTTCTTGGGTTTCGATGGTTTCTTTGTGTACGGAAAGCGTGACGTTCCCACGCCAAAAGTCAATGGACGTCCTGCGGTTTCAGGGTTGGGTTTCTTGCGGAAGGATTTTTTGTGGACTGGTCTCCACTGTATCCCAGTCCCCAGCGTCCCCAAGCCGAGCCCCACCATTTTACCACCCCAGTTGGGGATGTACCCCTCAAAGCCTAAAAGGGAGCGGCCCATATCCCCATCTAGGGGGGCAAATCGGCCAGTGGGGCCCAGGCCACTCCCATGGGGATGAGGGATCGGTTAAGTGATGCTCATCCGACTCGATTCGATTTGATTCGATTCGATTCGATTTCGATCGACTCCGATCCCGATCCGATCCGATTTCGGGTTCCAATGTAGCTTTCGTCTTCTCGACGGAGGCCTCACATCAGCCAGCCAGTTTCTGCCGATTCGACCTCTCCCGCCTTGGCCGCCGATTTCCGCCGAGGGGCACTAGGGGCAACAGGGGCAAGAGGGGCAAGAGAGACAAGGGGGGGAGGGGAGGGGAGGGTTAGGGAGGAAGAGGAGGAGGAGGGAGGAGGAGGAGGAGGCGGCGGAGGAGGAGGAGGAGGAAGAGGAGCAAGGGGAGACTCGCTTCCTTTCGATCGCTGATCCGACTCATCGATTCGCTTCTGGGCCGCCCTGCCAGCCCGGAGCGCATCCTGGATTTTGACGGTCCCGTTTTCGTGGGATGTTTGCAGCGGGAGCTCGCGTCAAATTTCAGATTGTGTCTTGTCATTTTCATGATGGCCCCGTCAGGCCAACCCGAGTCCCCCGTACCCGAGTCCTACGTCTCCCCGATGGAAGCGTGACGTTCCCTCATCAAAAATTGATGGACGTCCTGGGGTCTTAGGGGGTTAGGTTTCTCGTGGAAGTTTTTCTTGTTGTCGAGCTCCTACTGCATCGGGACGGTCGAGGCGAGTACGGAAAGAGTGGGCACGAAGATCGACGGCAGCTCCTGCCCATCTTGAACAGGGTTCGGCGTCGGCGTCGCCACGGACGTGATGTATCCATGTGAGACAGAGGGCCGCCTGCCCAACAGCGGCCGCCGTCGGTTTGGGACAACGCTTGCTGTTCCAAGGGGAGAACAACCACCCGGACCCGATAATTGGCGTTTACTAGACGGCCTTGGGCGTTTACTAAACAGCCCTACCCTGTTCGATTCCTTCTTTTGGTGCGTTTACTCGACGGCTTCGCTTGTCGGGGTGGTTCTCATGGGGGTGAATTTTTTGCCCTCTATTGTTGGGCATCGTGCCCATTTTTCCCGTACCTGTTTCGGACGGCGACGCTTTTGGCCTCCCAGACGCGGTCCGAGTAGATGGGGCGGGGGCGGGGGATGCTCGAAAGCTGCTCGGTCTCGATCTCGGGTGGGGTCCGGGGACCGGTTTCGGGCGGATTTGGCCCCGTCCCCCCCGTTGGCCGATTTTCTCGGGGGCCCACTCGGCGCAGACCCTCCGCAGCTTCCAGGTCGCAGCGGCCTGCCGCCTCTCCGAGAGCCCGGGCCCCGCCCAGGGGGCTGTCCACCGGGGCCCCAGGCCCGCCCCGCGAGCGAGATCCAGGGGTCCCGCGGCGCGAGATGCGCGCGACAGGTGGGGGCGTGAGCTCGGTGTTGGCCCCGCGTCGGTCGCCCTCGGCCATGCCGCCTGTGCGAGGTGTGCGTCGCTCCCACATGTGCGGGCCCCGAGAAGGTACACCACCACCACCTCGTCGATTCCTCCCTCCTCCGCCCTCATGTCTTCCTCCTCCTCTTTCCTGGGAGAGGGAGAGGGGGTGAGGGAGGTGGTGGTGGTGCACACCTTGGGGCCCTGTAGCATCGTAGCACAGGCGGCGCGCACTCTGAGGCAGCTTGCAGCGTAATCAGGCACCGTGGCGGGCGCGGCCCGGCCACGCGTGCTCGCGTGCCCTGGCCCTGGCGCGAGGGAGCGGCAAGGGACAAGACGAGGAGCCCCTCGGGGCCATCCCGGGGCTCTCTGGGGGCCCTCGTGGGGAGGCGGGGGGTCAGGGGACGAGCCTGGGGTGGAAGGGGGGGGGCGGGGCGACGAGCGGCCGGACGACGACGAACATCTGGGGCCCCGCGATCTGGAAGGCAGCCGTGCAAGTGAGACTGGGGGCCCTTTGGCGCTGGCTCAGGCGGCTCGCGAGCCTTCTGGGCCACGGGGGGCTTGTGCGAGCGAAGGCGCCCTCCTTGCGCTACTGCTGCCTCTGCTGCTGCCGCTGCTCCCTCCTTGTCGTCGTCGTCGCCGTCGCCGTCGCCGTGCCGCTCCTCCTCCCCCGTGCTGCTTCCCCTGGAGGCCTCAAGCTGCGGGAGGAGGCCTTGGCCTACTTCGCTACGCGGCTGAAGGAGTCCGAGGATCTCTTCCGACCCTCCTCAAGAGATAACCGGACGAGCATGCAGCATGGGTAAGGGGAGGAGCGGGAGAAGAAGGAAGAGGAGGAGGAGGAGGAGGAGGAGGAAGAGGAGGAGGAGGAGGAGGAGGAGGAGGAGGAGAGGAGGAGGAGGAGGAGGAGGAGGAGGAGGGAGGAGGATGAGGAGGGCAGGAGGAGGAGGAGGAGGAGGGGGAGGGGGGAGGGGGGGGGGAGGGGGGAGGGGAGGAGGGGGAGGGATGAGGGAGGAGGAAGGGAGGAGGGAGGAGGAGGAGGAGGAGGAGGGAGGAGGGAGGAGGGAGGAGGGAGGAGGGAGGAGGGAGGAGGAGAGGAGGGAGGAGGGAGGAGGGAGGTAGGGAGGAGGAGGAGGAGGAGGAGGAGGAGGATCCGTAGTCTTCTTGGCTCAGGCCATTTGAGCTGAAATGGGGAGGGTCCTCAGAGGCCATTGTGGCCCCTTGCGCGCCTCCGCGCCCAGGGCGCTCAGGGCCGGGGGGCCGGTCGTGGCTCTGGCCATGCTCGGGCGTGACGATCTCTAAGGGAGATCTCTTTCACGACCTGCGGAATCTTCAAGCATGATGTGCCCCACGATCTACGTGAAGTACGCCCCTGAGTGCTCCCCTCCTCCCTCCGCCTCCGCGGCCGCCTTGTCTGTCTCAGTCTCTCCTCTTGCATGCTGGGCAATTCGCTCTTCGGTGGCCCCGTTTAGCCCAACCGCTGGTGCAGTGACTCTGCCTCGCCACCGACGCAACAATCTACGTGAAGTACTTTACGATGGACGGGAACCACCTCACGATCTGCATGACACATGCATCACGACCAACGTGGTAAACCTCACAATCAATGTGTCATACCTCACGACCTGCGTGACCTACACCGCGATCCACGGTAACAGCACACCAACATCAGTTTGATACACCCGATATGCACACGAGTGAAATGCTTCTGGCATTTATCTGGACCGTGTGGAGATATTCCGGCAACCGTTCCGATACCCAGTGTGAATGCACAGGCAGCGTGCAGGCGCGCTGGATACGCGACCTGGCACGGACGGCAACCGCTCATAGAACAGATCGTCACCATCGCGGCTACAGGCCTTGCCAGGGTGCGAGAGTGAGATCCAACAGGCACGACAAGTACGGCAATCCCGACAAGCCGTGCGCCGAAAAAGAACGCGCGTTCTGTATGTGTATTCTGTCCTGGCCATTCATGGTGAGCAGCAGTACGGCGAGCAGAACTGCGACAACGAGCACTTGCGACAGCCACGTGTGCCACGGACCTGGCTGCGGAGACGACTGCCTGGAGCATACCTTCTCGCCCTTCTGCGAGATGCCGCCTGTTCTACCCAGCCCGGCCGATTCCGACTGGCCAGTTGCCCTGACGGCCAAGTCTTCAGATGGAGCTACAGCCGACCATATTGTTGCAGCCACGGGGACGAGGGCTACAACTGAGAGAGATACAGCCGCCATCCACCAGGAGGGCCGCGAACGCAAGGAGAGACCAGCAGCCACACCAAAGGCTACAGCTACGAGGAGAGCAACAATCCGCGACGAAATACTTATCCCTACCCTCGTCCAGGGGAAACATCTAGCGGGTCGTGCGTAGATTTTTTCGAGGCCCGTGTGCGCCCATAGCAGAAACGTTGGCATGCGTCGCTGGCGAAACGAGCATCTCGCCAAACTCAGTGGTTGATGTTTTGGGATTGGGATCGTCGTTGTGCTGGGGCGAGAGGAGCAGACGCGGTTGCGAAATGGCGCGAACGTTGGGATTGCGGGAGACGCGGGACGAGTTTGGGGATAAATATTTACACCTTGTTTTCCGGTGGTTTTGCAACCTTAGACATTTCCTGGGCGGGTGACGCGGCACGACGTGTCTCGACGCATGGCAACTCACAGGTCCAGAGGCAGCAGGGGTGTTCTGGTTTGGGGGTCAAATTTTCGGCTCCCTTGGACCCGTAAAATTTATCCCCAAGCCGTTTTGGGGTGATTCGTTGTGAGCTTAATTCTGAAAATTTGGTAGGTCAGTACTTCGTCCGTTTTCCCCATGGAGGGTTGCTGCGCGGGCTGATCCTCTCCTGTTTGAGGTGGCCAGTGCTCTCAGAGTATGTGTTATTTGGGTGCGCGGCATAGGTCAGGGATCCAGGCTGACGACTCTTGAGGCGTTCGTTGCCGACCAGTTGATTGTAACGACTTCTTCAGACCATTGCCTAAGGGGCGCAGCGGTCTCGCACTGCCAGCCGTCGGCCGCAATGTCGGCAGAACCGCATTGCCGCGGCAGTAACAAATCACCCACGTCCGCGGTGGGTGGCGAAAAATCCTGGACAAGGGTAGGGGTAATAATTTCCCCGCGCAAGCAATCGCGAGTAGAGGTACAGCCTGGCCGAGAGCACCAGCACCAAAGACGGCAACGACCAGAAGGAGAGCCACAGCCAGCACGAAAATTGCAGCTACACATTTCTGCAGCCTGCCAGAGAGCGACAACCACAACAAGGGCTGCAGCCTAAGGGAGGGCAGCAACCACAACGATAGCTCCTTTTACATGGAGGGTTGGAGCGTGCCGGAGAGCACCCGCTTGAACGGAGGCCAACACCAGGACGGGGGATTGCGAACACAACGCCAGCCACTGTCACGAGGAGGGCTACACTCTGCCAGAGGGAGCCAGCCTCATCGATGGCTACAGCCAGAAGGAGAGCTACAGCCACACCGAGAGCTACTGCTACACTGAGGGCTACAGCCACCTGGAGAGCGCCAGCCAGAAGCAGGGCTACAACCAGGCCAGCCAGAAGCAGGGCTACAACCAGGAGAGCTCCACCGTCGCGGTGGGCCACAGCTACGAGCAGAGCTACAGCGCGGAGCGGTACAGCTTGCTAGACAGCACCAGTCTCAACGAGGTCTACGCCCAGAGGAAAATTCTATAGCTATAGTCACAACAGGAGCTACTGCTACGAGGAGGCTTACAGCCCGCCGGAGACCACAAGCCATACCTGAGCCTACAACAAGGAAAGCTTCAGCTACGCGGAGAGTTACAGTGCAGAGGAGAGCTATGGCCTGAAGGAGTGCTATTGCCGGCTGGAGAGCGCCAGCCGTAACTGACACTACAGCCAGAAAGAAAGCTACAGCCGCAACAGCAGCTGAGCTTGCGAGGATAGCCAGAGCCTGGACGAGTGCTACTGCCTACCAGGCAGCTCCAGCCACAGTGAGTGCTACCTCGTCGAACAGACAACGAGAGCTGCAGCTCCATGGGGAGCTTCAGCCTGCTGGAGACCACCAGCCATATCGAGGGCTGCTGCCTAAGGGAGAGCCCCAGCCGCAACGAGAGCGACAGGCACGACAAGAGCTGGAGTCCGTCGGAGAGCTCCAATCCCTGCCGGGGCTGCAGCTGAGAGGAGTGCACAGCCGCCGCCGTGAGGAGAATTGTAGCCTGCTGGCGAGCACCAGGAATAGCCACGCTCTTAGTGGGCCCTGGAAACGGCAGGGCCGTTTTTTCACCGTTTCCAAAAAGTGTCCCTTGAAAATGGAAACGGCAAAAACACGGCGACCGGAAACGGCAACAAAAACGGCTCCAGGATTGGAACCGGAGCGGGAACCTGTAAAAGACCGGCGACGGAACCGGTAAAAAAATGGCGTCGGAACCAGCAAAAAAACGGCAAAACGGAACCAGTAACAAAAACGGCCCTGGGCCACGCTACAGCCAGAAAAAGGGGTTGACCGACGAGGGGAGCTACAGCTGCGAGGAGAGGTACAGCTGGCAGGAGAAGTAAGCCTGCTGGAGCGCACCAGCCCCATCAGGGCTGCAGCCTACAGCCAGAAGGATACACACCAGTCGTTGAAAGTAGGTATTTTTGAATTCCCAGATCCCAATCTACTTCAAGCGCCTTCCTACTTCAATCATCGGCATGATTTTGCTGTGTTTTGTTATTCTGTGGGATGGCCTGGGTCCAATCCACTTTATCCGCCTTCCTACTTCATGTTTCTACCTACTTCTTCCGACCGACGTGTAACTACAACCACAACGGGAACCAGATGGAGGGGTGCATCCTGGAGAAAATCTACGGCCAGAACGAGAGCTACCGCCATACTGACGTACATAGTCTCAAGCGAGGTTGCAACCTGAACGGCGGCTACAGTTGGGAAGAGACGGAGCCTGGCGGTAGGCGAAAACCGAGGAGGAGAAGGAGGACCATTACATCTCACCAGCGCGCCCTCAGCAGCCTCCGGTGCCAGGTTGAATCAGGACATCTTATCAACGTTACAAAAGAGCCCATCGTCAGGCTCACCGACCCGACGTGAACATTTACGATGAAGACGGCATCCCCGTGTCGATTCATGCTCAGGTCTTCACAGAACGTGTTGGTTCCGCCGAAGGACTGACACACACGCGCACCTGTTTTTTGCAGGAGCTGCTGCACAGTTCCATAGAGGCGCATTATCACTCCCCGGCGAACGGGCCGACGGCAAACTCCCAGGGCCCATCGCCCCGGAGGAGTGACGACACTCCCAAGTGAGGGTGGATGGCGAGGAGTAAACGGTGGACGGCAAGAGTGAACATGTGGACGAGGCTGTGGGCGAGGATTTTTGGGAAGCAGAGCATGATGAGTTGGCGAGCGACGATTTCAACCCGAAGGTAAGGAGGGTCAGGGCGTTGATCGCCAGGGGGCCACCAGTATTAGGGACCCGAGGGCGAAAGGCAACGGCAGTTGCAATGACAGATGGTGCAGCTCGCGCGGGTACAGCGTAAGCATCGGCGAGGCTCCAAATTCTACGGAAGCTATTTTCCGTGCGCCCACGACAGCCGCGGCAGCTACCACTCATGCGGCCTGGAGACGGAGACGTATGCTCCTCGCTCCGCTGTCAAAATTTCCTCCGAAGTCATGAGGCCGACGCTCTGCTGGAATGGTTACGGTAGCTACAGCTTTGTAGCTCCGTGTTGCCGCTTGGACAGTCTCGTGGGCAAGGATACCTTGCGAACCACGTTACATAGCTGAGGGTCCGCTACCGAACGGCGGCGGCATCTCGTCTACAGCGCTACCGCCGATGTACGCAGCTTGCGGCGTTTCTACAAGTTATAGTACGTCCAGCTTTCGCGGGGACATCAAGAAATACAGAGCGGCCTTGCAGTTTTAGTCCAACTCCTTCCTCGATCCTCTCTTCCAACTTTCTCTTCCCCTACGTTATCTCCTCTTGTCAGGCTGCGAACCAACTCTGCGAGGACCTTACGGAACGCGGCACACCGTGGGCGCGCTGCTAGCGAACGCGGCGGTGGGAGGCCGCGCGAAAGAGCGAGAACGGCTATGATGCTGCTGCTGGTGATAGTGATGATGATGGTGCTGGTGATAATGATGCTGGTTATAATGGTACTACTGTTGCTGCTTCTGATGGTGATGCTGCTGATGATGATGCTGCTAATGATGGTGCTGCTGCTGACGACGACGATGATGATGATGATGATGATGATGATGATGATGATGATGGTGATGTTGATGATGGTGCTGCTGCTGACGACGACGATGATGATGATGATGATGATGGTGATGTTGATGATGATGATGATGCTGATGATGATGATGATGATGATGATGATGATGATGATGATGGTGATGGTGATGGTGACGCTGACGACACCTACGATGCTGAACAATACGATAAGACGGGTGGTGGTGATGATGAGGATGAGGTTGGTGAAGTTGGTGCTGTTGCTGCTGCTGATGCTGATGTTGATGGTGATGATGAGGCTAATGACCATGATGATTACTATAGCGAACATTATGGTCGTGGTGATGCTGGTGATGATGATGGTGGTGGCGGTGGTGGTGGTGATGAGGATGGACGAGGAGGAGGAGGAGGAGGAGGAGGAGGAGGAGGAGGAGGAGGAGGAGGAGGATTATGACAAGGAGGACCCAGGAGGGAGGAGGAGGAGAAAGGGAGAGGAGAGGAGGAGGAGGAGGAGGAGGCGGAGGAGCCGGAGGAGGAGGGAGAGGAGGAGAAGGAGGAGGAGCAGGAGGAAGAGGAAGAGGAGGAGGAGGAGCAGGAGGAGGAGGAGGAGAAGGAGGAGAAGGAGGAGGAGGAGGAGGAGAAGGAGGAGGGGGAGGAGGAGGAGGAGGAGGAGGAGGAGGATGGGGAGGGCGACATGATAATGGCGTTGGTGGTGATGGTGTCGGCGAAGATGATGTAGATGCTGTTGTTGACGACGAGCCTTCGCGGCCGCCGTACAAGAAAATTACCCGGGCGAGAAACCAAATCATATGCAGTTATGAGTAACGCGTTGTGTGTGCCGCTGTCGGTGGGCCACGCAACGCGTGATGTGGCGTGCCGTAATGGGTAGGAGGACGCATGCGGGCGGTCCCACTGGGGCCTTCGGTGGAGCTCCCTGTGGGGCCACGAAGCGCTGTAGTGGGTGGCTGAAACGCATGCGGGCGGTCCCACTGGGGCCTTCGCTGGAGCTCCCTATGGGGCCACGAAACGCTGTACTGGGTTTAACGGGCGCATGCGGGCGGTACCACTGGGACCTTTGGTGGAGCTCCCTATGGGGCCACCAAGCGCTGTACTGGGTGGGGGGACGCATGCGGGCGGTGCCGCTGGGGCCTTCGGTGGAGCTCCTTATGGGAACGCGAAACGCTGTACTGGGTGGCGGGGGACGCATGCGGGCGGTGCCACTGGGGCCTTTGCTGGAGCTTCCTATCGGGCCGCGAAGCGCTTTACTGGATTTGGCGGACGCATGCGGGCGGTCCCACTGGGTCCTTCGGTGGAGCTCCCTATGGGGCCATGAAGCGCTGCACTGGGTGTGGTGGACGCATGCGGGCGGTCCCACTGGGACTGGAGTTCCTGATGGGGCCACCAAGCGCTGCACTGGGTGTGGTGGACGCATGCGGGCGGTCACTATCGGGCCACGCAATGCTGTACTGGGTGTGGCGGACGCATGCGGGCCGTCCCACTGGGACTTTCGGTGGAGTTCCTCATGGGGCCACGGAGCGCTGCAGTGGGTGTGGCGGACGCATGCGGGCGGTCCCAACGGAACTTTCGGTGGAGCTCCCTATGGGGCCACGAAGCGCTGTACTGCGTTGGGGAGACTCGTGCGGGCGGTCCCACTGGAACCTTCGGTGGAGTTTCCTATGGGGCCACGGAACGCAACACTGGGTGTGGCGGACGCATGCGGGCGGTCCCATTGGGGCTTTCGGTGGAGTTTCCTATGGGGCCACGAAGCGCTGTACTGGGTGTGGTGGACGCATGCGGGCGGTGCCGCTGGGGCCTTCGGTGGAGCTCCCTATGGGGCCACGAAGCGTGCGTGGGGTGTGCCGAAACAGGTACATGCGGAGGGCAGAGGCAAGGAAGTGCAGGAGGAGGGAGGAAGGAGGAAGGAGGAAGGAGGCGGGAACGTGGGGCGCTGTCTCTTAGAAACGAGGACCCAATACCACAGGACGGTTGGGAGCAAACGCTGCTGGCGCTGGTTGCCCGACGCCGGAGGCGGGCGCGCAGGATGCTTGCGAGAGCGCTGCCGAACCTTGGCCCGTCGCCGCCGCTGCCGCCTCCGCCGCGCCCGTGGGGCGAAGGGGCTCGCCGCCGACGCCGTTGCCGTCGCCGCCGCAGCTGCCGCCGCCGTCGCCAGCCGCCGTCGCCGCCGCCACTGCGGGAGCCGGCCGGGCGAGGAGCTGGCGTCCTCGGGCCCCTCCTCGGGCGCGCAGAGGTGCCTGCTCCTCGCGCTGCCCTCCGAGGCTGGGCGCCGCTCCGGCTCTCGGCTGGTCGTCAGCGCCGCTGCCGCCACCGCCGCCGTCGTCGTCGCCGCCGCCGCCGCCGCCGCCGTCGTCGGCGTCGTCGTCGTCGTCGTGGTAGGAGGAGGAGGAGGAGGAGGGGGAGGAGGAGGAGGAGGATGAGAAGGAGGAGCACGAGGAGGAGGAGGAGGAGGAGGAGGAGGAGGAGGAGGATGAGGAGATGATGATGATGATGATGATGATGATGATGATGATGATGATGATGATGATGATGATGATGATGATGATGATGATGATGATGAAGATGATGATGATGATGATGATGATGATGATGATGATGATGCTGATGCAGATGATGCTGATGCTGATGATGCTGATTATGCTGATGATGATGCTGATGCTGACGATGATTATGATGATGGAGAATGATGATGACGATGATGACGATGATGATGATGATGCTGATGCTGATGATGATGATGCTGATGATGATGGTGATGCTGATGATGCTGCTGCTGATGATGATGATGATGAGGAGGAGGAGGAGGAGGAGGAGGAGGGGGACCAGAGTAAGCCCAAGATGCGTGAACGATTCTGCAGGGCGCCCTCCAGCACCAAAGCCGTCCTTCAGAAGTCCCTACATACCCCCCTTCTCCACTGCAGAAGGCGTCACCTTGAAAGACCAGCACCCGATGGGTCTGGAACAGACATGTCCTTGCAGCCTTCTACGTTGCGCGTAGTCGGGGATACGACAAAGTATGATCATACAGTTCAAAGAGGTGCCCAGCGAGATAACCCGTTTTCTCCCAGCCATCCTGTGGTGTTGGGTCTTCGTTCTGAAGAGACAGCGCCCCGCGTTCTCTTCCTCTCCTCTCCTCCTCCCCCTCCTTCCATCTCCCATCCCTGCCTCTGCTCTTCGCATGTCACCATCGTCGTCATCATCATCATCATCATCATCATCATCATCATCATCATCATCATCATCACCATCATCATCGTCATCGCCATCGTCATCATCAACCCCGTTTCGGCACACCCCTCACACGATTAGTGGCCTCATAGGGAGCTCCAGCTAAGGCCCCATCGGCACCGTCCGCATGTGGGCGTCGCCCCCGTTTCGGCATCGAGCTGAGGCCCCAGTGGCACCGTCCGCATGCGGGCGTCACCCCCGTTTCGGCACACCCCTCACGCGTTTTGTGGCTCAGTAGGGAGCTCCAGCTAAGGCCCCAGTGGCACCGTCCGCCTGTGGGCGCCACCCCCGTTTCGGCACACCCCTCACGCGTTTTGTGGCTCCGTAGGGAGCTCCAGCTAAGGCCCCAGTGGCACCGTCCGCCTGTGGGCGTCGCCCCCGTTTCGGCACACCTCTTACAAGTTTCGTGGCCCCTATAAGGGGGCCCCAGCTACGGTCCCAGTGGCACAGCCCGCTTGCGGGCGGTGCCCCATAAGGAGTTTCACCTAAGACGGTACTCGCAATTGCGGTACCCACAACTGCACATGGTTGGGTTCTTCGCGAGGCTAATGAAAGAGCACCGCCCCCCCCACCCGTGTAATTGTTGCACAACCTCAGGTGTTGGTGCTGATTTCTCGAAGAAGTGTTTTCACAGATAAACCCAATGTGACAACAACAACGCGTTCCATTCGTGCACTGCAGCCTGTTACATATGTTCACGCCTCTGGTCTCGAAATTCACGGAAGGCTCCAACGAACACCCGAGCTTGAAAGGCAGCGCCTCCCGCTCGTGCAGCTGTCGCGTGCCTTGAAGATGGAGGTGCACGGCGCTGATCGGAGGGCACCAACTATACACCAACACCGATCCTGGCCCAGGATCACCCTGGGCCCAGGATCGGTGTATATACCTTCTTGCGCAAGGCAGGAGGGCGTATACACCGATCCTGGGCCCAGGGTGATCCTGGCCAGGATCGGTGTTGGTGTATAGTTGGTGCCTTCCTACCTTGAAGATGGAGGTGCACGGCGCTGAGGCGAGAGCCCCCTCTCTGAAACAGAGCTGCCCTCCCTCCTGGCAGCTGCCGCAAGCTTTGCGCACACGGCTGTGGGCAGCGGCAAAAGCGAGAGCGGGCGCGCCCGCCGCGGTTTCGCCCCACGCTCCCGCCCGTGGGCGCCCCGTGGGCGCCCCGTGGGCGCCCTGGGCCGCGTGCGTGTCCGCCGAGGCCTCGCCCAGCCCGCTCGTGGGCGCCTCGTGGGCGCCCTGTGGGGCGCCTCCCGGGCGCCCCGTGCCCGCCCGTGGGCTCCGTGGCCGTCGTGGGCGCGTCGAGGACGAAAAGCACGAGGATGCTAAAAAACTGCAGTCTTCCGGCGAGAGCTGGGGAGTCCTCGAGGGCCGTCTTCAGAGGCTCTTGGCCTGCCCTGGAAGCCATTGGGGCCGCCGGAGCGGCCCGACAGCCTGTCCGCGCCCGCGGGGGTCGCGGCGTTCGTCTTCCCCCCCTCCGCAGCTCGAGTCAGAAAAAACAGTAGGAGCAGCATTTTTTTTGGAGCGCCGCGCGGATCTCTTTGATCGGCGCTGGACCGGACCCCCTTCCCTCGGCGCCGGATGCGCCGCCAGGAGGACCCAGCGCCAATCCAAGAGATTCACGCGGAGGTCCAGCAGTTTTGTTTCTGCAGTTTTTCAAGTGAGGGAAAACCGCCCCTACCCCCATGATGAGTGTTTATTAAGCGGCCCTCGGCGTTTACTAAGCAGCCCTGCTCCTCTTCGATTCCTTCCTTGGGTGCGCTTACTGAGCGGCCCTGCTTGTGGGGGGTATTTTTTTATGAGGGTGGTTTTCCTGCTCTCTAGTTCTAGGCCTCCTAGATGGGGTCCGAGTAGACGGGGTCGTAGGGCGGTCTACATCGCCGATGCATCGCCGATGCGGCTCGATGTGCAGCCCGATTTGCTTCACGTCGACGTCGCCGACACATCGCCGACGTCGACGATGCATCGCTGGTGAATCCCCGAGACATCGCCGATGTATCGCTGATGCATCGGCGATGCGGCGCGATCCTCCGACCCCATCTTCTCCGACCCCATCTAGGAGGCCTCTACAGTGGGGTCCCATGCCGAGATACACCCTGCTTGCCTCCAGGGTGCCCCGGGTTCTTGGGTTTCGATGGTTTTGCTATATGGAAAGCTTGGTGCTCCCCCACCAAAAATCGGTCGGTGGACGTCCTGGCGTCTCAGGGTTGGGCTTCGTGTGGAAGGTTTCTTGTGGACTGGCCTCCACTGGAGGAGGAGGAGGGGGAGAAGGAGGGGGAGCAGGAGGAGGAGGAGGAGGAGGAGGAGGAGGAGGAGGAGGAGGAGGAGGAGGACGAGGAGTGCTAGTCTTCCTCCCCCTGGCCTCCGCAGCCGCTCGAGCTCCGGCGCCGGCGGCGCCATGGTCGCGCCGGCGTGCCATCGGTCGAGAGGGCGCCCCGCCCTCGGGCGCCCCGCCCTCGGGGCCCTGCCGCTGCTCCTGCTCTGCCCGCCCGCCCTCGGGGAGATGCGGCCGCCCAAGCAGCTGTCGGAGAAGGGCCTGCATGCGGCCTGGAGGTCAGCCCCCGCCACAACAAGAATGTGTGTGTATATATGCATACACAGACGAGGGTTATGGTGTTCCAGCCCACTTTCGCCTTGATCACCAGGAAGGATTTCGAGCACCATGAAAGTACCGAACCTCTAGGGTTTTCACGCGTCGGGCCCGCCACGAGAATGTTCCCAGATCAGTGCTTGCACTGCAAGGGTTGGCGAAAGTTTCCCGCCGATTTCGGCAGCAAGCTGGGTTTCCGGGTTTCCGGCTCTGGGTTCCCGGGTTTCTGGTTATTGGCTCCGGGCCGACTTCGGTGGGTTCTGGGCTTCCAGGCTCCCGGGTTCCTGGTCGATCCTCTCAGCGAAAACCATCCACTGATTGTGGTTTTTCTCTTGAGTAATGTATACACTGACTAGGGGAGCGAGCAGTGGCATAAATATACGAGCTCGGAGGTCCGCGCGGATTTCTCGGATCGGCGCTGGACCCCCCCTGGCGGTGCCTCCGGCGCCGCCCCTGGCGCGCTCCGCGCGCCAGGGAGGGGGGTCCAGCGCGAATACGAAAAATCTGCGCGGACCTCCGAGTCTCATTGTTCGTTCCCCTACAGACACGCTCCAATGGATTGTTTCTGAGCCTCAGGGGAGGGCGGCGGCGTGTAAGTTTCCATGAGGGCTAGCGGCTTTATATACACCGCCACGCTCCCTGCAGAATTCGTCGGAGGGTGTCTGTGTATACATGTTCGTGGCGTGCCACCATCTTGGAGCCTGTTGGGCGTCTGAGGTGGCCCAGCAGTGGTTCCAGCCAGCAGGAAGTGCGAGCAGGTTCGAGTTTCTGGGTTTGGGAAGGTTTTTTGCCCCCTTCGAACTCCAGGGGCCGTTTCCGAGCCCCAGGGCAGTGAGGAACGGATCCGGGGTGAAAAATTGCCAGATGGACTTGGGAGGGGTCCGTGGACAGATTTTGAGCGGATTTGGCTTTGTCCCCCTTCTGACCTTTTTCTTGGGGTCCCAACCAGTTCAGACACTCCAGCCGCCTCTAGCAACCATCACGTCAGTAGCAGCATCAGCCTCTGCATCACCGTCACCATCACTACCACCATCATCACGTCGTCGTCATCGTTGGTCAACTGGGTGCGCTCTGCCAAGAGTCCCAGATCACATTCTTTATTTCAACATCACCACTGTCATCACAGCACCATCATCATCATAGCAGTTGCTCTGGGCACCCTCGTTGCGTGGTGAATTCTAGTGTCACACATATTCTGGGCACCACACAGGAGTTCTCCTGGGCCCCACAGCGCTGTCTTCACGCACTCCCAGTAAGCTTTTAGTTCAAGTTTCGCACTTGATGGGCCTGCGCACCTGAGCAGAGCCGTGCTGCGATCTTTCCATCTGATCTTTGCTCGCCGCCGACCAGATGCGATTAGGTCAGCGCCGTCGCCCCGCCGCCAGCTCCGACCGAGTCTGGATGTTTCGCTTCGCAGAACAGCAATCTCTTCGCTTCTGAAATGGT